TATATGAGCCGGAAAGAGGCTGCGGATGTGTGATCCCATCGATACTCATCCTATCAGTAATTGAGGCTGAGTTGATTGAGGTTGATGTGGCAGGGGTGGAACCAGAGTGATCGGTGTTCGGAGTCTCGCCAGCATTGCTGCTACTGTATTCGGTCGGAGCGCGAGGGTGATTACCATTTGTCGGATAATAATGCATACTCGCACTTGGCGCAGAGTGAGGGGAGAGTGTTCGGTATCCATCTGGGGGTGAACGGGGCGACGATGGGATATTAGTATTCAAACTAAACCTATGCCCTAAGTTTGCAGCTGGAGAAGTAGGGAAAGTGGAGGATAGACCTGGGGGGACACGGCCAAGATCCTGCTCGGATGGGCGCTCTGGGTGTAAGTCTCGGAGCTCACCAAACGTCGAACGAAGAGACGGGAGAGACTGCGATGGAAGGGTCTCCTTAGACTCGCCTGCTGGTGCGCGAACTCCGTGATGAAGAGGCGGCAAGGGTCCATTAGAGGTAGATATCAGTGGTGACGTGACTCTATTACCGGAAATATATCGCGGTGCAGACAAACCGTTGATCGTGGGCTCGTCGTGGATAGAAAGCTGCCCAGTCGGTATAGATATATCGGGGATCGTTTTTGGGACCGAGGCGGCGAGAGACGGCGGTGCTGTCGCAATAGAGGCAGCCTGTAGAGCGTCAGCGGCCAGGTGCTGGAGCAGAGGCCCGCTCATGAGATTGCCGTCGACGGCCCGTTCTCGCCGTGGCTCTTCATCCGGTGAGTCTTCGTCGCCGGGAAGACTCTCGCGGGCAGCTTCTCGTGCTATATCGGGATCGCGTCCATTGTCGAGATATGCGACTAGGACAGCATCCCCAGAAGTGGGACGAACCTTGTGGCGATTAGACTTGCCGCGACCGTCGATAGAGGTGGGACTCAGACTGACTTGAGCTGCAGGAATATCTGGGGGAGGACTTGGAGACGGCTCGAGCTTTGGACGAAGCGGGGTCATGAGAGGACTTCCTCGAGGAACCACGTCATCCGGGTCGTATGTATCGACAACGAAGCCGAGATGGGGTTGTGGTGGTTGGTGCTGGTGGTGCGTAGCTGTGGTCATCTTTGTCGCGTTGACGGTGGTTGCTCAACTCGCCATGGCCCCTCGTGGGGGGGGTTTAAAGCGTTCGGGAGCTCTTGATCAGTCGGCGAAATCTTGCGCCTGGTGAATGGCCGTGGTGCGACTTGAGTGGTAACTGCACAACCAAAGAAAGCTTGTTGAGTCGGAGGATGCGAAGAGAAGAAGCGGTCGAATAATGATATCGTGGAATTGGAAGCAGATGTGCGCGCACCACTCTGGGCAGACGACTTGCCAGCGAATATTCGTATACTAACGTTGGTCACTCAGCATGAGCAACAAATGCCACCCAGGCGGCGTCAAAATGAGAACAGGAAAGTTCTTGGCGCGGGTAAGTTGTCCAGGCAGGTTGAGGTCGGATGTGAGTCGCGAATATGGCTGTAAGCGCAGGTTAGGTGGGATTTGCGGCGTAAATGCGGTGAACTTGAAGTGCCAGGCTGAATGCGAAAAGAGCGTGGCTAAATACGGTGGTGAATCTAGCCGTGGTAATGCGCGTAATTTGGGGTGATGTAGTGCAGCCGTTGTCGATATGATAGTCGTCCAAATGAGCGCTTGCGCGATAACACGCAGAGAGAGAAGCGGAGTTGAATCGCTAGATATTCCGCTGTCGCTTGACCCAGGGGGATGTGACCAGTAGTAAGACCGATTGAGATGACACTGGAAATGGACTCTTTGATTGGCAAGATTAACTTCGAGGTCAGACCTGAGGCGTCGATATGTAAGGTAAGGTAGGTTGGTAGGCAGGTATGTGTGTATGTATGTACAGCACAACAGCCAGAGGAGGCGACGTACTGTATCGTGCCGTGTGTATAAGGTTAAGGCAACAGCTGAGAGGCGAATACTAGGTAACGGGATGTATGAGTAAACTCGATTTACCGAATTATTTCAGAAGGAAGAGTGCGGAGCAACGTAGAAAGTCTGGGGGATTGAATGTATTTACTACGGAGTAAGTTTACTTTATTCTCTGGGAGCTGGAGCCCTATCTGTCCGTGTACAGTACCTAATTAAGTACATTGCTAACCTGCCCAGGCTACTACTGCTCATGGTCCTTCCTAGTGAGTATGGAGTATGCCTCCACTTGTTGACACCATGTTACGGGGTTTGAGGAGCAGTCCATTTTAGAGGAGACTGGGGAGGCTACGAGATACGGAGAATGGGCACGGGCAATTACCTACTAGGTAGTATGTACAGCACAGCACAGTGCCAACTACGCCTCGAGTTGATGTTTGAATGAGGTAGGAAGGACTGGAAGTGAGTGGGAAAGAATGGAAGAGAACTTTCCTTGGATGAGGAGTGAGGAGAGGACTCGCCGGGGCTGGGGTCCCGGGAAGGTTAGAAGGGCTAGAAAGGTTCAAACTTCAAGGGCCGGCAGGAGCATGGGGAAGATGCGGGATGGGGTAAAAGGTGGTAAATATTCGGCCCTTGGTTATCTGTAACATGTGGTAGGTCGGCTGAGAACAGGGGGTCCGAGATGGGGCTCTGCTGTTGCGGCTGGCCTGGCAGGCCCTTGAGCCCTGAACCTGGGGACTGGACCTGGACCTTCACTGGCTGGACTGACTGAGTTGGACGGACTGGGGATCTGGGGCGGGCACAAATTTTAATGACAGAAGCAGAACGCGGTACGTCCGTCGTATGTCTTATTAGCAACCTCTCTGTTGAATGGTCGATTTTGGTGCTCCTCTGTGCTAGTGCAGGCCACCCGACAGCGCCATTATGGGTAATTCTGTGAGCAATTGGACCATTTCCAAAGTAGTGTGTCTTTAGCGAGATCTTTTATTGAGTCCCCCTTTATTTTTACCTATGCACACTTGACCGACATACATCAAGGTTGTGTGACGGAGGGACGGACTGGCCTCGATGATATGGATTGGATGCCACTTATACCATAGAATGAACCTCGCCTTGAACTGCAGCGAGAGTCTCTCCAGCTCGAGATTTGTCTTTATATTGTCGTACCTGTCTCAGGTATAAGGAGTGCCCGCTACAGACTCAAGTCTTGAGTAAGTCACGACCAAAAAGAGAGGTCAAAATTCAGGATGCGTCCGCCGAGGCCTCCCTCCCCCTCTCTTGATACCCCACTGGAGTCACCCGTCTAAGCCTCAACGTCCACTGCCGTGTCGACATGTGTGTGATGTGATGCATTGGCGCGAGGTCGAATGGGCAAAGACTTGGTCAGTATGTATAACTTAGTGAGTCTCAAAACGGTATTCGAGTCGTGGTTTGGCCTGTTTGTCCTTTTCATCTTTGATATCTTCTCATTTGGCAGACTCGAAAATGACCTCGTGATCATTCGGAAGTATTTAGGCGTGATGATCTGTGCCGAGCCAAAAAGAGCCGCCTCGTCTGACATCCATTGTCCGTCAGATAAATATCTCGCGCACTCAACGCCCTCTAACGGACTGTCCCGCTCTGTGAACAGCAGTCTGATTGGCTGACCCCGGAGACTGCCCCGGCCGCTGGACGAGGGGAAGTGGACACTTGGACAGAAGTGGGTAACCTCAAAGTGCGTGCCCCTTCAGGTTGTGGGGTATCCGGCTACTGTGCATCGGATAATACCACGCACTGTCCATGTCTCGACCGGGGCTCTCTTGAGTCGCATGGAAGATTAGAAAAAGGGCCGTTTTTTGTTGTCATTGGACCCTCCGCAATTTTCCCACAAAAAGCGGCTCTCTCTCATCCTGGAACTGAAATGACCATGCCATGACCGCTTCTGCGTTGCCGGCCGCGGGAGCTGATACATAGCAAGCAAGCGACCACCCTTAGCTACATCCTTCAACGCAATAACAAAGAAGGTAAAATAAGCGAAGACTCGATGTGTGCTTACTTACCTGGCTAGCCTGAGTATGCACATTAGCAGGGTATGTAGGTAAACTAAGGAGGACAAAGACAATTGATTGATGGGGCTTGGTTTTGTTCTAGAAATCTGACAGAAACTCGCGACTTAAATGACGCAGTGATTCTGTCACAGCACGGTTGCATTTAAACCTCGCTCCCGTCCCATTATCGAAATTAAGCAGAAGTGCCAGTCAGCCAGTCTCTAACCTGACCAATGATTGACTTTCTTCAGTAGTCAGACACACACTCAAATTAACTGTCTACTAGGCCTAGTTGAGTGTGCCCTGGGTCTTAGCCTGAGTTTGCTGTGACTGACTCGTTAACCCATGGCAGTTGGCCGACCACATGAGAAGTTGCAAGACCACGATGTATTTGAGTACCACAGCACTTATTAATGACAATCATTATAAGTCCGACTAGCAGATAATACATTCAACATTGAGTACCAATATCCCACTATTTAATACTATCTAACCAATTGAAACAATCAGATCATTGCTTCCAGTTCACGACCTTTCCTCTATGTCCAGCCATAACCACAAGATATGCCTAATTTGGCCGGCGGGAACTGCTACAATAGCATTCATCCCAAGCCTTAAAGGCATATTTAGGTACATACTGTAGGCCGCTAACCATATAATGTTATTCTCTAGACTCTATTAACCATGTAAACGACATGCTCATTGCCTTCATGGTCACGGATTGAGACCTTTCATTAGTACAAACACCCTTCACATTCAAACCTCAACCCATGTCATGCAGAGCAGTTGCAAGTTAATCATGATACCCCACCGTAATACGGATACCACAGATCCTGCTATCTTCCGCCGATGGCGGAACACGTAACCCCACCTCGGTCGTCACAAAATTACTGATGTATGTGCCTCTTTGAGAGAAGTTACAACAACTCTCAATTGGTACTTCTCTCGAAGCGATTAGCCCCCTTCGTGAGGAGTTTGCTATTTGCGCCGACACAGCGCAGTCACTTGTCTAAGCCAATCTCACATCATCGTTAATGACCTTGGCAAACCCGTAAACCAACAGCATGTCTCTGCCATCAACCATGAAGGCCGTGGTTTTCGATGGTCTGTATAAAATATCAGTGCAAGACAGGCCAGTGCCTCAGAGTAAGTTGACCAGTCACCCAGCTTCAGACCTGCTAGTATTGAATGAGAGCTATTTCGACTACAGCTGACTCAATGTAGTTCGAGATGAGAGGGATATCATTATCAAAGTTCATGCCGCTGGCCTGTGTGGATCGTAAAAGCGTGATCATCCTCCAAATGCTGTCCCATTTGCTAACTAGAGTCCCAGGGAACTTCACATCTACCGTGGTCATCAACCTTCAGATACTGGCTTCATCATGGGCCACGAGTTCACCGGAACAGTCGTCCAGATTGGATCAGCTGTAAAGACAATCAACATCGGTGACAAGGTGGTTGCTCCCTTTACAGCTTCCTGGTGAGCTCTCTCCTCCACCGTCCGGTTCTCGTGCTCATAAGAAACTACAGCGGCAACTGTTTCTTCTGCAACAATGGTTGCTCAGCCCGTTGCGTTGAGAGCCAATTGTTCGGCTGTGAAACTCTTGACGGAGGACAAGCCGAGTACGTTCGGATTCCCATGGCCGATGGAACTGCCGTCAAAGCCCCCGGGACTATCTCAGACCAAGCTCTCCTTCTCATGGCAGACATCTTTCCCACCGGATTCTATGGTGTAAAGAGCGCCGCAGAATTGATCCCTTCCCAGAAAATTCAAGATGCCACACTAGTCGTCATAGGTTGTGGCCCGGTTGGGCTTTGTGCTATCCTAGCAGCCACCCATTTCAAGCCTCGCCACCTCTTTGCCATCGATAGTGTCGACAGTCGCCTGGAGCAAGCTCGAAAACTGGGCGCAGAGCCCCTAAACTTTGAGACAGATCAAGCAGGGCTGGAAGCTAGAATAAAGGAGGTGACAGAAGGACGAGGCGCAGATATGGTTGTTGAAGTTGTTGGCCAGTCCCCAGCTTTGAGGACTGCATTTGATATCGTGCGACCTTTTGGTGCTATTAGTAGCATTGGTGTCCACAACAAGGAGGTGTGAAAGTCGAAGGGAACGATGGCTAGGGACAGGAGCTAACACCACAATGCAGATTCCGTGGACGGGCGACGATGCGTATACGTATGTAATGCCTTGGGATGCTTTGTGTATTGGCCCGAGAAGAGAACTGACTGGCTGATCTTGTTGCAGAAAGAACATTCGAGTGCAGATGGGTCGTTGCCCAGTCCGCAGCGTCTTTGACGAAGCCCTCAAGTTACTGGAGCGGAAGCAAGACCAGATTGGGTGAGTTTTTGAGCTACCGTTGGAGATGATTCAACAACTAACATCGCCGTGAGCTTCCTGTTCGACCACATCATGCCGCTTGCACAGGCTCCTGAAGGATACGCTCTTTTCGAGCAGCGTAAGACGCAGAAAGTAGTATTCACGTTGTAATGCAAAATACAAGCCCGGATTAAGACATCGACAATTAGTTTTGTCGAGGCTTGACCATGCCTTCATGCATTAGATAGTAGACAACCGTTGAATCGTTGTGCACGATGGCCAGAACAAGCCTCTTCTCTCGTGGGCCATTACGCTCGATAGAGTCAAAAATCTCGGAGAATCTCTTGATACACCATTTCTCTTCGGGATGCACTGCCAATACCCATTCGAGCTCCGGTGTCTGATCCAGAGGTTCCCCGGTGGTCCTCTCACGTTCCAGAGCAGCGATCTGGTCATCAGGGTGGGTGTAGAGCCGTTTCGGCGGCAAACCTCTGATCAGAGGTCGCTGAACTGTTGTTTCATGGACTTTGAGGGAGACCCAATCATGCTGATATTGCAGGTTGTATACAACTGTTGAAGTGACGTTTGAAACCGGGTCACTTGAGGGATCCATGTCGAGCATGACTATCGCTGACTCTCATATGATGTCCACGTAAAAAGTGCCAAAGGAGGCGGATGACGAAGTTTAACACGGATCAAGACCAAGAGGCAGGGTGTGCGTGGAAGCCAATTATGCGTGAAGAAAGGGCGAGGCGCGGCTCAGCGATGAGGAAAAGAGAGACCCGAGCTTGAGAAATTCGCGAGGATTATCAAAACAGTAGCGAACGAACGTTGAAAGGCCGAAAACCCTTTGTAAGAGGGGTTGATGGAGATTCTAGACCTTGTACAGAGTACAGAGAGGTAAATGTTAACTTTTTTTTATGGATCGACTGAAGGTGGATACATAGCAACACCTACCTACCTACTCCGTACCTAGGTAGGTATGAAGAGTGGGGAGGAGGTAGGCATATGCCGTCCAACTGACCTTCATGATTGAACGAGAACGAAGTGAACTTCCTTTTATTCCAACATTCACATGCTCGTTCCATGAGAATTGGAGTCAGTTTAGACTTTTGTGTCCCAACAGGAACTTCGCATCACCTGTAATTGACCAATGGTGACCCCCCCGGCGTTGCCGTGAACCCGTCAGTACCTTAGCTTCAGTGCTGAGGCACACGTAGGTACGGAGTAGCTCGGTAGTGATTGACATCCACTATCCACGTTGGCATTAGACCCTGAGAAAGGATCTACTGTGTAGATAAATGGGCAAGTCCCACCGTCGCTAGGCACGTTGATGTGGATCACAATCGCATTCCATTCTCTCTGTTATATCTTATTAGTACCTGTATAGACAGACATCTTGATTCACTGAAACAAGCACCAATTACTCGCAATATTAATACTCGTCCTTTTAATCACAGCTCTCCAGGCGCCCAATCTAGGGTCGCCAAGTCGCATAGCCACCATGGCAAACTCTGGGCAACCTTCCTATAATGGCACAGATACCGAACCCTTTCCAAGCCTCGATAATGCGTCACCAAACCCCGATCATACAAACATAAACGCCGACTCTTCATCTGACGTCGAGAATCGTCCAGCAGCCTCTTCGTCTTTAAGTGGTCGTCTCCGCAGAGTTTCCCAAAGTTTCGAAGTTTCTGGCCCCCCTGAAGGGTTTATGGCCGCTACAGGAACCATCGCAGCATCCATATTTTCGCGACAGACCGTGGCGCGAAGGCCATCAGACACCTCGATACCGATGCAAACAAGCCAGCCCCTCGGGGACACATCCAGACAGAGCACATTCCCAGCTGTCAACGAAGAACCGCCCGAAGAGAAGGCGAATGCAAGCGTCGCGTCCCCGAGGCGAAACTTGACTGGCGAGCCTGCTGCCGCGGCTCCTTTTGACAATGGATATCATTTCCCACCAAAGCATTCGTTTGGACAATCGACGAAACTTGGACTGATTGCTTTCTGGAACTATGTACGAACACCAACCGGCTTTCTTGTTACCATATACGGTCTGAATGTCGTTGCGTGGGGCGGAATGCTTTTCCTGCTGCTTTGGTAAGTTCATGATTTGTATCTCTCCTCCTCACGGTCAACCATGCTGACAAGCAATCCAGCAATGCTTCACCGGCGATGTGTGTTCCAACTTGCAATGACATCAATTCCCCCAGGCGCAAGTGGATAGAGTGGGACTCCCAGATTTTGAATGCTCTCTTCTGTGTTACAGGATTTGGTCTTGCTCCATGGCGCTTCCGTGATCTGTATTTCCTGCTTCAGTATCGGTTCCAGAAGAAGGAAGTTGCTCTTCGACGATTGGCAGGCATTCACCGAGGATGGTTCCGTCTCCCAGGGTCCGATCAGATTGATCCTCAAATAGGGCCCCATAATATCTCGTCTGCGCCCGAACTAGCCTCATCACTCGCCTGCCCGTTTCCAGAAGACAAGATCCCCGACGCTCCGCTGACTGGCGTGCGCGCCCCGCCAACACCCATCGCAAGAATGGACGCCGTCATCTGGCTGATGGTATGGAACACGTTTCTGCAGTGCGTCCTGTCCGGTTTCATGTGGGGCCTTAACCGTTACGATCGTCCGAGTTGGTCTACAGGTCTTTTTGTAGCACTGGCTTGTATTGTCGCGGCCATTGGAGGGATTGTCATGTTTCTCGAGGGGAAGAAAGTCAAGGGAATTGAAGGCGTCCCCATTTCAGAAGAAGACCAGAAGCTACTACAACAAGATCGGGAACGTGGTGTGTGGCATTACAACAATATCAAGGACAAAGACTTGGCTGCCGAGGAAGCAAAGAAGAAGGAAAAGGAAAAGGAAAAGGCGAAGAAGTGATGCTCTTGTTGCACATCTGTTCGACATGTACAGGCGTAAACGGCAAATCTTGGTTGGCTAATGACGGTAAAGGGGGGTGGTTTCACTGATTTCATGCATGTGCGCTCTACAGTAGCAACAGGCGTTGGGTGAACTTGCCGATAGCGTGACCATATCGTGCATAGGTACCTATATAAGATAAGGTAATTTGGGATACAACATCAAATTTAGTACTTAGGTGCCTCAACTATTCTTCGTGACATGTACGTTCATGGATGGTTGTTTGTGTAATTGACGGACTGCGTCCAACGAGGCAACCAGCTCTCATGATAATTTCCTCGGCCTTATCGACTTGGTACTCACTGCAGCGCCAAATGTATGAAAACCAGACCAACAGTGGATATAGGGACATCATCATTCAAGACTCTATTAGGCTTCCTGAAGATCGTGATATACAGCCATTTCAACTTTCTCTCACTAAGGCCGAGACTCTCCTATCTGACTATTACGCAGACCCCGCTTCCATTCACCTAACCCCGGCCTCCGCCTCACTATCAAAGAGAGACGTACCCGCATTAGCTAACTCCGGCCTCATGACGTGCCATTCCTAACGTGAGCCTTCTCCACTGCTCCTTCAACTTTCCCTTGTCAACTTATTAGACACACGCAGCAAGTTCGCGGTACATCTCGACAACTTCAACTTTGTGCAATATCAGTCTAGAAGCACCTCCAATATCCTTTCAGTTCGGCATCGCCCTTCGTCTGCCTCAGGGCCCCGCATCATGGGGCTGGCTTACAACACCTACCTGAATAGCAGCAAGATCTACGGCTGCAAGGCATGCAAGGCCCATCTTGCTAACCATGAGGACATCATCAGCCGCGTATGTTGTCCTCCAACTCCCCAACCTCTTGACTCCCCTGTAGATTCCTGTCCGCTGATGCTGGTACCAGAATTTCCGTGGCCAACATGGCAAAGCCTACCTCTTTCATAACGTCGTCAATATCGAGACGGGTCCTCCGAACGAACGTAACATGACGACCGGTCGACACGTAGTCCGTGATATTACATGCCGTCAGTGCAAGGAGACCGTTGGATGGAAGTACGATAAGGCCTACGAATCTTCAGAGAAGTATAAGGAGGGCAAGTTTATTCTTGAAGCTGAGCTGCTATGTAATGTTACTTGAGGCCTGGCTGTCAAGGCACCTCCCAGCGTGCTCGTTGGCTGCTTTTGTCACAGGCGTTATCTGGATATTGGATGCATGGGCGTTGACTGCATTTTTGGGTGGCCCAGACACTGCTTTCGACCATGACAAGGGCAAAGTAGAGATAGTTAAGTTTCTTGGCCGTAGGATCTGAATTTCGATATGATAAACTATTCGACTAAATCCTATACTCCAGACCTGGACGCCGCTCGAACATGCAAATGATTCCAAAACTCTGGCTCAACATGATACGATGTAGTATCGCAGCACAGAATGCTTCACTTAACGGTGCTCAATGGGCTCCTCGGGCAAGAGCTCCTCGACCTCTTCATCTGGGACTCTGAGGAACTCCAAAGGAGGCTGAACGATACCGTTGAACAAGAAGGTGAAGTAAACAAGCAGGGCGAAACCGACAATTTGGAGCCACTTGAAAGTCTCCCAGCCCAAGCCAAGGGAGACGATCCAGATGAACAGGGTTCTGCAAGTGTCAATGGTAGATCGAGAAGTAGCACTGACGCTTCGTGTGACGGATAAGCCAAAGAAGTTGAAGCCACTAGTAGCAATGTCAGTGTTTGGTTATCCAGATCTGATCGACGGAATCCTCACCCAATGCTGATCATGATGAGAAAACTAGAAATGAGGACCTGCTTGTTCTCGGTCATCTGGCGCCAGCCCTCGACAATGTCGAAATATCCATATTTGCCAGCTTCAGTGGAGCCGATAGTGGCATGCAGAACAAGCATAGCAAGGAGGGTAACACTGAAACCGAAGATGCCCTCCCAGCCGACCACTCTGATGGGGTCAATTGCAGATCTCTCCAGGAGATATTCCTCGAGGACGAACTGAGTGGCTGTAAAGATCTGGGCACCAGCGATAAGCAAAACACCCACAATGGCTCTGGCAGCGTCGGAAAGACCTCCGTCAGTAGCCGAGTCCTCCTCGGGCTGTCCAATAGAGTTCTCAGGCTTCTCATCTGGCCAAATAGCTCCCGCCAAACCAACGACTGCGACACCCAGAACGACACCGACGAGGGAAAGCCACTGGAAGAGATGCAAGTGTCGCTTGAGGAAGACGACGCTGAAGAGGCCGACGAACAAGACGAGAGCACCTCGTGTCATTTGGTAGATGGATGCAGCAACCATGAGAAGTCCAGCGTTCATGAGCGTGGTACCGCAGATGTCGCAAATAGCGGGCAGAGCAAGCAAGGTGACTCGGTATCCCCTCAAGATGGATGGGCCAGTGTGAAGGAGCTTAGTGCGATCATCAGCTTGGGGCGCAGCTTCAGCATCGCCATTTTCCTCGGTATCAACAGCTTGATAGCCTTGGTCTTCTGGTGCAGAACCCTTGAACCGTCGCCAGAGAGCCATGAGGCCAACAACCAGCCAGCAGCCCATCTCGCCGATGAACATCTGGGCGGTTTGGAGAACCGGCTGGTTGAAGAAAGCGCGCTTCCTTGGATTGTCATCGGGGCCACAGTTTCGAACGCATTGGTTGTCCTATGGAGAGGTGAGTTAGCTACAGCTCTGCGAGCATGGCGGAACAGCGGATGCGCAGCGCATGTCGTCATACCTGATACTTGGTCAACAAGGTGTTGCAAACACCTGTGAGCAGCATCATGGCTACGAGAAATGGGATGAGGCTTCTAGACGCCATGTTGAAGAGATAGCCGATTACCGGCGGCCAAACTTCAGTGGTTGTTGATGTTATTCCAAGAGTGATTGTGGAAGATGGGGGATGAAATGGCTAAGCAGGTCAGCAAGAACTGATAAGAACAAAGAACTGATAAGCTCCAACCTGAGGTAAAAGGCGGAGTAGAGGTACGTAGCCGTCGCACAGAGGGATGCAAATGCAGGGTTCAGAGACTTGACCTGAATGCGGAGTCGTCGCCTCACTAGATGCATGCACTACCTGCATTAGCCCTTAGATCCATCTCTGGTGCCTCACGTCTCCTCTTGCGAGTGCCACGCGTTACGCGATACCTCGAGGTACATGCTCGAGCCAAGTCGATGTACCTTTGATTTCTTGGTGGAGAACCGGGCTTAGTTTATGCGGGACAAGCGAGATCCCAGCCACCAGACTTCTCAGAGGTGGCATGTGCATAATTATGGTCGTATCACAATTCACAAAGCTGTTATCGGCTCTTCATTCCCTGCTCAAATCAATTGCCATCAACTCCAGCCTTCCACCCACATCACATTGGCAACAGCTTCTGTATATATCCAATTTCGACAGGGAACACGAGTTTGAGTGTCTCGGCGCTGGGTCAAATGATGACAATCTCTAGAGATCAGAGTCAGCGTTTTCGGTCACCTGCCGAGACGGCAGACAAGTCACTTGATCGATGCCACGTTCAAACACACATCCAACAAGGTCTAGTGTAAATAGTGGATAATGTGCTTCGAACTATGCATTGGTGGTTGAAATTAACAACTTCTCGACCCTATCGCCCTTTTGATACCCAACTTGGAGAAAAGAGAACAAAGGCTTGTCTTATTGTCATCCAACAACACCTCATGAGTACGTCTTCATCAGACCTAGTCCAAACTTAGCCAACCCGACCATGACGCCTGTTGGTGTTGATGAAATTTTGTACCATTGTTCATCAGTCCCATCACATTCAGTACAAGACACACTTATGGCCGTTACTTGTTTTAGTGCTATTGAGTGCTGGTCCTCCAAAGGACACAAAAGGAGCGTAGATACACCTTGATCTAAAGTACAATACATGAAATTGATCTCAAAATTGAGCCTTGCTTTGCAATATGTCCAAAGATGGACTGGAAACATCTGAATCCCTGAAAACTCCCAGAGTTCAGAAGTGAGAGCCAGTGCTATTGCTCATGGCTGGGAATTATGGACTGGACTAGCCAGGAAATGCCAAAATTCCCCATACACCTCATACCCGCTGTTGAGCTTACCACGTGAACGCCTCCTCGATGAAATCGATGTGGGATCGGTCCTGGCGGTTTCGGACAGCCAGGCGAACCTCGTCACTGAGAGCACCAGGGCCACAGACTGTGACAGCCATGGCACCAACCTGGTGCTCTTGCTCCATGCCCAAGAGAGTGTTGATGTTGGGTCGTCCAGGGAACATCTGGACAGTTGACGAGGGGCTGTGGATTTCCTTGGTGGAGCGAGGCTGGCTGACAAAGAGCATGATTCGGAGAACATCCCTTCTCTTGTCCATGCCCAAGATCTCAGTCATCCAGGGGCGGATCCACTCCAGATGCTCGGGAGTCTGAATGGTCCAGACTAACAGGATCCTTCGAGTTGCGACAGTACCCTCGGAGTAGCCCTCAACAAGATGCTTGATATAGGGGACGGGGTGAGTGATGCCGACACCTCCAGCGAAGAGAACCACAGTGCCGTAAGAGTCGAAAGAGTGGTGTCCACCATAAGGGCCCTCGGCGAAGCAGCTTGTCTCGAAACGACCTCCAGGGGCAGCGACTGCCTTCTTGTAGAGGCTGTCAGTCATGCCGGTTCGGCCTCGGATGATGAAAGAAACCCGTTGTTGTTGCATAGCCAAAAGATCTTGGTTAGTAGTGGCTAATCGGTCGCTCTTGACATCCTCGACGCCATCGTACCAGGCGACGGAGAAGGGGTGAGATTGCCAATAGCTGATGGCGGGCATGTAGAGATAGGCGTGTTGTCCAGGGGCGGCGTTCCATGGGCGAGCCAGAGTCATGGTCAATCGGACGGCATTTCCAGGGAGGGCTTCGACAATGGTTCGGGAGCGCGAACCTCCCACGTGGGAGCGAACGACACGCCAAATGCGATAGGTGCGGTCGAAACTCCAGAGAGCGATCACGCCATAAACGTAGCAGAGCCACTTGAACAGACCAGGGGATGCGGACAAGTGATAGTACAATCCCACGACGGCGGCGGTGGCAGCGAGGATGTGGAGAGCTTTGAAGACCTCATAGAAGGCATGGCGAAGAGGACTAGAAGCCTGGATGCCGAGGAAGACAAAGGAGCATGTGGCCTAGGAGGCGTAAGTAAATCTTCATGAACGCGATTAACGTTAGAAAAGGTCTCTAAAGTAACTTACAACAAAGCCGGGAAGGATAAAGTTGCCCGCAGGAGGGGTGAAGACCCAGCCGTTCTTACCATAGTGGGCAAGGGTATGAGCGAGAGCCTCAAGAATGACAATACGGCCAAACCAACGGTGGATCAGGTTGTAGGTGTCAAAGGAGATGTTCAAGAGGGGGATGAGAGGGTTGTTTCGTCCGGCCAGAAGGAAGAGAGGGACCTGAAATGGAAATAAGGTTAGTGGCATGTACTAGTGAGATTTGGAACGACCCAATGGATGCAATGCAATGCAATGCGATTCAATGCAATTCAATTCAATTCATACCATGTTAACAGTGGAGAGGACACCAGTGCGGTTGCGAATGACACCGCAGGCGGTGGCCATATCAGCGGAATAATCGATGTCGATAACACACCAGACGACATTGGAAACGAAGTAGGACACGAGGAAAAGCAGTTGGAAACGGGTGGGTAGAGTTCCAACGTTGATGGCCTTGCTTAGCTGGATTTCGCGGTTGTGGCGCTTGCTGAAGACGGGAGCGTAAAGAAGGTGGCGCTTCAGGGCCGCAAACTTCTGGTTGGGGATAGCGAAGTAGCGCTGCTTGTCGTTGTTCAAGCAAGAAACATGTCGAGTAAGTCGGATAATTCGCTCGCAGACCTTCCAGACGATAACAGCAGCAGAGACAGCACCACAGACGATCATGAGGTACTTGGAGAGGTTTCCGTTGGTGGTTTCGGCGATTTCTTTAGCGAGTTGCTGCTCGGGTGTGAGCTCGTAACCGCCTCGCGGTAGCAGTGAGTTTCCGGCACTCATTGCGACTGAAGAAAGAAGGGAATGACGGAGAACAAAAACAATGAGATCGAGGTGTCGAAGTGAAAAGTTGAGAAAAGTCAAAGAAAATAAAAACCTCCCCTGGAGGAATCGAGTAGAATGGTCCAAGAAGCGGCGGCGAAGAGAAAAAGAAGTGAGAAGGAGAGAGAGGGCGCTGTTGACAGTGATGGGGCCAAGGGACTGTAAAGTAGCCGCAGCACTAACAACACCAGCAGCAGACGGTGAATAAGTGAATGAAGGTACGAGAGAGCGTGTGTGTCTGGATGGAAACCAGCTCCGAAACAAACAATTCCTACGCCTTCTTTAGGAATGAACTGAAGACGTCAAGGTTAACGAAACAAGACAAGGCAAGGAAGAGTTTTGAAAAAACGGCTGCGGAGGCCAAGGGAGGGATAGTATTCAGAGTGAGCAGGGGGTATTTTGCGAGATAAATTGGGCCTCTACTAAATTCCCCAGCAATCATGGCCTAAGCAGATCATATTCAAGTTCAAGGCCGCGTGTAGGCTTGTCGTAGAAACAGTGGCCATGCAGTGTCCCTTGCTCTCTCATTTGCAGCCCACCCCATCAGCTGACTGTACCTATCCCGCTTCCTATCCCTGAGTATCCCACTGAGGGGGCCCATCTGCCAGTGGCCAGCCAGCTGCAGCACTACGACAGTGACCGAGTTACAGCTGGGGCCAGCCGCGAGACCACTAAGCCTAGCCTCTAGTCTCAGGGGCATCGAGTTTCAAGATGTTCATTGAACCATTCGAGATTGCCTGATCTGGCCACGCCATTGGGCGAACCTACACAATCTAGGAACCCCCCGGCGGCTCCTAGCGAACATGGAGAGAACTGGCCCAGTCAGCGTCTGCGTTGCAATGGCGCGGGACGCGATGCATTGAACAGGGGAGATGACTGTGGCGCTGGCTCCGAGTGGCGGAAGGATATCTGATATCCTAGCACCGCGGGGCGCAACTGGGATTCTGAAACAAGGGCTTTCCCAGCTTCTGGGTAATCAGTTTCTTGGCTGCTCGAGTACAGCAACTGTTAGGGGAGTATGATCTTACTAAAACTTCAGCGCCCCGCTAATTTTAAACTCTCTTTTAGTACTTTTACGATAAATACTTTAATTTTGGAAGTTTTTCATCTCTCATACTCTACGTATTTGTAGCCCTTGTAAGGACGTGCGTGGCCCAGTTCTAACTACCTAAACACGACTCAGCGGCAATGCAATACAGGGCTATGCTGTACGGTAAAACTATGGGCCATCGTCCGTTTGCTGATCAAGTTTCCAGAGATTGTTCTCAACCGAACCCAGCCTGACCCAGCAATGACATCGAATGGCGGTTTCAAGTGCCTCAGACCCCACCATGACCGATATTATCGTACCCGTTTCCGTGGCCTCTGAGAGGCGGATGATTATTCTCCAGTAAAAGCCTGAGACGAGCACTGAGACGAATTCATTACATGTGCATACGTATGATCCCTGGCTAGGGAAGGCAAGAAAACTCAGGACCTTGACACTTAGCGATAAAAACATTAAGGTAAATCAAGCCTAAGCTTGGGGGACTCTTCCAAAGTTTATTTTGACACCCTATCTAGGTCCGATACTTTCTTGCCCCCCCGAGAAAACAAAAAAGCAAAACAAAAGATAAGGTGTAAATCGAAACTCTATTAGAGTGATTGCGTATTGGCCCTGTATCCTTACTTAGTACAGTCTCTGTGAAGCTCAAATTGTACTGAGTTCGTCGTCCATATCGTCCTCTCCAGGCTCTGTCAATGATGTCCCTACAGCGACTCTGTCAGGCCTCTTTTCCTGCCAGGTCCTTGCAATATCCAAGCGCTTGACTCTCTTCAACGTCTTGATGTTTCCGCTACTGCTTCTGTCACTGCCGTTAATACCATGTGTTCGCCCCAATGTTTTCCTGGGGCTGTAGTCCATCATCTGTGCACACTCGCCAAGCTCATCTCCGCTGTCTTGCTCTTCGTCAATATCCGTAATGCTGATTGCTCTCGTATCATTCTCATCCTCCCTGTCACTGTCGTCCGTATCATCATGATTGCCCGCATCCTTGTCACTTCCTACCGAGCTATGTTGGTCGTTTCTGCGCCTGAGATTGCGGCCCGTCTTCCCACTCAGGCCCGTCGTCTGGGCTCGACTATCTGATCGACGATCTGTGCCTGTTCTGTAGCTCGTTCCGTCTCGACTTTGGTTTTGCTGTCTCAGCTCGCTTCCTCGTTCCTTGACGGGGCTGGGGAGAACCCATTCGCCAATCCCTTCCTCCCACTTCCAGCCCGAGAACATCGTGCTTGTTTCGACGATTCCCTTGCCAGCGGTGGGAAATCTTTCAGCAAAAGCAACATCTCGGAGGTCCTTCGTTTTCTGTGCCAAAACAAACGCCCCGTCGGACACCAGACCTTCTTGAAACCAATTAGGCAGCCTCAGTTCACTTAAACGTGTACGAATCTCAGACAAGACGTCGTGGCAAGCCAGGCCACATGCTTGTCCCCGGTATTGTGCAACAGAGCAAGCCAGCAAAAGAGTTTGTCGATACTGAGGTTTACTTGGGGAACCGTTTCTTGCTGTCAACGGTTTCACGCATTCGTAAATCGCCAGATTCCTCGCTGATAAACTGCCCACTTTCCCGTCGATCAAACTCGTGGCCAAGAATCGGGCTAAAACGAGTGTCAAAAATCCGCTGCTTCGAAAAGCCCCACGACGGGTTCGTTGCTGTGTGACGCACATTTCGAGTGTGAAGATTAGTCGTCGAATGGCGTGAGCTTTCCAAGGCTCTTCATCACTCATATCAACACCCAATGTCCATATCGCTGCCGTCATTGCGGCCAGAACCCTGGTCAGTGTCTGATCCTCTATAGGCTGTTCTGTCTCCTTCGCTTTTCCACTATCCAACAGAAGCTGGTCCAGAGCCTTACACAGAAACTCAACGACTGAGGGGACAGGTTTTCTGCAATGTAGCAGGATTTCAATCCCTCGCATCCATACTGACTGAAACGCCCGTGACGTCAGCCAGGTCAGAGATAACTTCTTGGTGTTGATAAGGTTCGAAAGACAGTCCCATGATGGACCGATTGTGCCCCGACCTTGCAAGCTTTTTACTATAACGCCCAGAGGCTGGACTGTACTGCTCTCGATCAAGGTGCTTGACGTACCACGAGGGGCTGCCAAAGGAAGTCTCAGGCTTGAGACAAGTCTCGCGGCTTCTGTCTTGCAGTCGAGACTGAGACAGAGATCAGCCAACAGTCGTACAAACGGAGGTTCGAGGAGACCTTCTGTCACAGCAGTTGCCAAGAGACATAGAGCATGCGCACGGACGACAATTTTGAGGGGCTTCCATCCCATACTTGAAGTACCAAACTCCTCGAGTTGGTCGTAGAGTTCTGCCGATGCTTTAGATGATTGCCACTTGAAAGTTTTCCCTGCCTTTGCTGCAGTCTGACGATCCCATTCTTCAATTACGGCTATCGCATCTGGTATCCTGCGAAGACACATCCCTAGCAACGACTTCGGGTGTGCTGTTTGGGAGACAGGTTCTGTTGAGGTCAGCAAGCCATGCAGCCAGCTGAAAATGGCATCGTATATGCGATATTCACTATCCGAGACAATCCGGCGGAGTGATTGCAATTCTGCGACCAGTGATTTTGATTCTGTAGCCGTGGGCTTTGAGCTCGTGGGTGAAGTCTCAGGGGTCAAATTGCCGCATCTGAACTTGCGCATGACTGGCGTCGTGAACCCGAGTCGCCCAGCCCCTGGAGGGCTACGATCAATCTTCATGGTGCCGAGAGTGCGAAATGCACGCGGCGGTGTCGACACAGGTGAAGTCATTGGCTTTGACTGGGATGTTGTTACTCGGTGTACTCCATATGTGTGCCGCACTCGCTTCGACAATTTCGTTGTTTCATTCTCCGTGTTCGTCCGCTTCGTGCGAGTTGTTGTTGTCGTTGGTTGCCGGGCCTTATCAACTAGTTTTCTTAAAGCAACTAGACGACACTGAAGTTGCCGTAGTAGGCGCTGGCATCTTGCTGCGGTCCAAGGCTGTATATCTTGTTGGCGATTGCTGTGATATCCTTTTATTAAACGGTGGGCTGACGGGGATGGGCGATCAGCCATGATAGATGCATTCGGGAGATATCGAAGCAGCTGAATTGATACTAGAGCAATAGCAAAGCAACAAGAAACATATTAGATGCCCAAGAGAGTATTGACGATTGGATCAATAAGAAAAAGAAAGAATTGGAAATAGTTGAGGACAAAGAAGATGTTATGTTGTGTTGTGCTGTGTTGTGTTGTGTTAGCTAAAGTACCTAGGGAGCATAAAGAGATCGGCCAATATTTACATCCATCTACTTTCGGTCTAGCGCTGCCGCCAATCACTCTGGGGTCGACCGGCTTCGGGGCCCTAACATTCTCTACTCGGGCTATACCTTGTTTAACCGTTCAAGGCATCGGAGGGCTAAAGTACCGTCACTGTCGCGTGTTCAGCACCGGATACTTCCAGTGTCCGGAGCCAATGCAATGCCGGGCCATTGCCGCCGCACCCACCACAACTCGAGCATTAACCGTCCAATTTTTTTCTTCGTCCCCTCCGCTCCGTCACTACCTTACTCCCACCTTCTTTCGACCAACGTCGTTCAATTGATTGTCTTAGTCTTCCAGTGCATATCTCATGCCTGGTTTCCTCCCTTATTACCTATTCTTCTTTTGCTAAACACTCCATCTTGGCAATATGGCTGAGGAAACCACTCCTCCCGCTCAGGCGCCTGGTATGTATAATTTTTGTGCGAAGCTAGACCGCCCTTGTCGAATGCTCGCTTGTAAAGTCCGGGGTCTCAACAGCCTCAATTTGGCCACTGACGGAGCTATCATATAGCTTTTGCTTTGGCTGTACTGGTCTTGTTTGCTCTTGGTATTAGATCTGCTATACTGAACCGAGCTAACATGTCTCACAGCTGCTGCGTCCGAGGAGCCCGAGACCAACATGGAGGCCGAAGCTCAAGACGTTGACGTTGACGCTGGCGCTGAAGGTAGCTAAAATTATCCCTCCGATTAGCGATATAGACGACATGGATATCTAACGGTTCAAAGCGTTAATAAACCTTACTATCGTCTTGCCCGACGCCAATGCTAGCAAGATGCAGATTATGGTCCGTCATTGACTTACACCGAGGCCCTGCAAAATCTCAAGCTCACAAAAAAAAATGTCCAGGTCTCTTCTCAAGAACAGGTTCACGAGATTCGACAGTCCATCATTGACCTTCCCTCCGCATTCCAGTACACTTGCTTCCACCTCGAGTTTAACGGCAAGAAGATCAACGACTTCATTCCCCTCTCTGAAATCCCTGACCTTGGCACTACTCCTGAATTCCATGTTGTTGAGGACCCATATACCGAGAAGGAAGCTCGCATCCACTTTGTCCGCATTCGAGAGCTTATCGGTGCCTCTGGAGACCGATGCGACACGGCCCAGGGCCTTCTTCCGGGACTGTCTCTCTTCGAAACTGTCGCCACAGAGGCCGTCAGCAACAACGAGTCGACTGAGGAGTCACCCATTCAGAACTACGATTTCCAGGCTGTACCCTCTCTAACCGAGTTGGTCCCTCCTCCCTCTGAGCCCGCTCCCAAGACAGTGAAGCAGATCTCCTTGTCTTCCTGGAATCCTCCTCCTCCTCACCTCCGACAGCGTGGCCACTTGCTCTACTTAGTTGTCTCCACCAACGAAGGCGAGCAATATCAGATCACCTCTCACGTTTCGGGCTTCTTCGTCAACAAGTCATCCAACGCCAAATTCGATCCCTTCCCTCGTGCGGCACCCAAAGGGCAGTCAGCTCACTCTTTGCTGAGCCTGATCGAGCTGGTCTCTGCGTCCTTCGCCGAGTCCTTCGCCAAACTCCAGGACTACAACAACCAACGCGACCCTCTCGCCACTTTCCAAATCACCAACGCTATTCCCGCTGCTCCTTGGGTGGTTCCCTCTCCTAACTCGACACTTTGCACACATCTTCCTGATCCTGCACGATCTCAGGAGACCTACCTCCTTAATGGTGTTGAGAACACCGACACTCTGCGGGACTGGAATGAAGAGTTCCAGTCAGCGAAGGAACTTCCTCGCGAGACTGTTCAGGATCGTGTCTTCCGAGAACGACTTGTTTCTAAGCTCTTTGCCGATTATAATGAGGCTGCTACTCGAGGCGCCGTCATGGTCGCACGGGGTGACATTGCTCCTTTGAACCCCACAGAATGCAGAGATGCTCAAATATTTGTCTATAACAACATATTCTTCTCCTTCGGTGCTGACGGTGTTGGTACATTCACTTCCGAGGGTGGTGATGAGGCGGCTCGTGTCGCTACTGGCAAAGATGTCGCTGGTGTGAAGCTCGTCAACCAATTGGATATTGAGGGACTTTTCACTCCTGCCACCGTGGTTGTTGACTACCTTGGCAAGCGAATTGTTGGTCAGAGCATTGTTCCCGGTATTTTCAAGCAGCGCGAACCTGGTGAGAACCAAATCGACTACGGTGCTGTGGACGGCAAGGACATCGTCGCCGCTGATGAGAGGTTCGCTCCCGGCTTTGCTCAGCTGTCCAAGGCCCTGAAGGTCAAGAAGCATCCTGTTTGGGACAAGGAGGGCAAGCGATTTGACTTGGAGGCCAGTGTGGAGACCAAGGGTCTGTTAGGTACAGACGCCCGCAAGTATGTCTTGGATCTATACCGTATCAGCCCCCTCGACATTGCCTGGCTGGATGAAGATGGCCTTCCTGAGGATGGCGATGCCTACCCTCACCGCATGACGGTCCTCCGACCGGAGCTTGTCGACTCATTCTCGCGATACAAGCTGAAGCAGTGGGTAGATAAAGAGGTTGCCCGTCGAGCTGAGCAAAAGAAAGAGAAGGAGGGGGAGATCAGGGCTGCAGAGGGAGACGCCAAGGGAGACGCCAAGGGTGAAGAGGGCGAGGGCGAGGGCGAAGCCTCCAAGGAAGAGGATAACCAGCCCAACCTATCAGACTTCAAGTTCGCCCTTAACCCTGACGCTTTCAGTGGCCAAGTTCCTCAGACTGGTGAAGAGAAGGCCGAGTTTGCCGCTGATGAGGAAGAGGTTAGGGCAGCTGGAAAATATCTCCGCGAACAGGTCATCCCTGACCTGCTCAAGGATCTTTCCGAGTCCGAGATCAGCTTCCCCATGGATGGCCAGTCATTGAGCCGACTTCTACACAAGCGCGGTATCAACGTCAGATACCTCGGTAAGGTTGCTGAGCTCTCTAGTGATGGCCGACTCCGATGCTTGCGCGACATTTGCGTCCAGGATATGGTTGCCCGAGCCTTCAAGCATATTTCTGCTGTTTACCTCCGACACCTACCAGTCCCTGCTGTTCCTGCTGCTGTTTCTCATCTCCTCAACTGTCTGCTTGGACATAGGTTCAATGAGAAGCCTATTGCTGAGCTCGATCCTTCCATCCGCAGTCTCTACACTGATGCCGACTGGTCTTTCGAGAAGGTTACACCTGAGAGTCTGCGGGAGAACATTGAGGAGCAGATCCTCCAGCGATTCCGATATGAGCTCGACGAGGAGTGGCACAACCAGGTTCGCCCTGTGCAACTTCTTCGTGAGGTGTCGTTGAAGATTGGTGTTCAGCTACTAGCCAAGGACTACAGTTTCACTGCTGAGACTGCTGCTGCTGCTGTTGCCGCCACCAATGCTGAAGCTGCTCCTGTAAAGGTCGAGAAGCCTGTTACCAACGGCCAGACCAACGGAGAAACTGGTAGCAGCAAGAAAAAGAAGAAGAGCAAGGCTCGTGAGGCTTCTCCTGTTGAGGCTGCCGCCCCAGCCAATGTGCATACTTTCAGTCCCGAAGACGTCATTGACCTCGTACCTTTAATCAAGGACTCGTGTCCTCGCAGCGCCCTCGCAGAAGAGGCGCTTGAGGCTGGCCGTATATCTCTTCTCCAAAACCAGAAGAAACTGGGCCAGGAGCTCCTCCTGGAATCCCTTTCCCTACACGAGCAGATTTATGGTATCTTGCATCCCGAGGTCGCTCGTGTCTACAACAGCCTATCCATGCTCTACTACCAGCTCGATGAGAAGGAGGCTGCTGTTGACCTTGCTCGCAAAGCTATCATCGTCGCTGAGAGGACCGTTGGTGTCGACTCAGCCGAGACTCTCCTTAACTACCTCAACCTGAGCCTGTTCCTCCACCAGATTGGTGACAGCAAGGGTGCTCTTGTGTACTCCAAACACGCTCTCAAGATGTGGAAGGTCATTTATGGCCCTGATCATCCTGATTCTATCACAACACTCAACAATGCTGCTGTGATGCTCCAGAACCTCAAGGCTTACCACGAGTCTCGACTCTGGTTCGAGGAGTCACTGCGCGTATGCGAGTCTGTTTTCGGCAAGCAATCGATCAACTCTGCAACCCTCCTCTTCCAGCTGGCTCAGGCTCTTGCTCTAGATCGCGACTCAAAGGGAGCTGTTACTCGCATGCGAGAGTCTTATAACGTCTTCCTTGCTGAACTTGGACCTGAGGACAAGAACACCAAGGAGGCCGAGAGCTGGTTGGAGCAGCTCACCCAGAATGCTGTCAACATTGCCAAGCATGCTAAGGACGTTGCTGCTCGAAGACTTCGAACGGGTGTTCGGTTTACCACCAATCCCTCAAGCTTGGCGGCTTCCAATGCTACTGTCCCCGGCCGCACGGGACCTGGTTCACAAGTTGACTCCCGCAGCATTGATGAGCTTATCAAGTTCATTGAGGGTGGTGAACATCAGCAGACCAAGAAGCGAACTGGCCGTGGAAACCCTAAGAGGCGAGGCCAAGCTGGAGCGCGATAGGCTGACAATTTAACGAAATTCTTTATGATGCTATTACGTGGTCGAGTTTCTAACTCACCGATGTGTAAAAGTAGACGGTGAAACAAAAAGCATGGGAATTCCATTATGAATCGTGTGGGAGCTGGGTGGCTTGGTCACGAAAAAAAGCCCTTGCATTGGTTGGGTTTGGTAAGGTTGGCGGCACGGTGGCGCGATCACACATACTTGCATCAAAAGTCGCGTTCTCAACATTTGTATATATCCAAGGCTCTGTTCTAGGCCAATGGCCAGATGATCTTCACTCTTATATAACATATTCACACTTGGAGCTCTTGAGTCTATCTGTCGAGCGAGAATTCGCCAGTGGTGCGGAACGGTCTATAAGATCGAATGAATCGTTGAGCTGACCGTTCAGTCACGCAGGCACCCAAGTCGAGGAGAGAGGCTTTTTTTTTCGTTGGCGCGTTGCATTCATAAGTGCCGTCAAAATCCTTGGTCGACAGCATCATGTACTCAGAAGTTTAGTACATATCATGGCTCCGTGACTTATCCCCCTTGAAATAAAAACGCCAGTGCAGAAAAGAAGCCTAAGTACGGCCTTGCAAGATAGAAGCCCCGCCGCCGACTGGTGCATGATACGCACCGATACTCTGAAACCCCCTAGGTAACTATGTTAGCTCAGTCTCAAGTGAGTCATGGGGAAAACAAACTTTGTTAAATCAAAGCCGTGCTCTTCTTCGGCCTCTGCCGGTTGAGCAATAGGCTGTGGACTTGACTTTTGAGGTCGAGAAGGACTGCTAAGAGGCGACTTGTCTCCCCTTGGCGGACTGCTACTCTGCGGGGGGAGAACACCTCCAGCTTTGGTAGGACTGACATCGTAGCCACCAAGAGGTTTCAATGGTGTGCTACCTATGTCTGCGTATTTCCAAAAAGGGGCTGGTGAGCTGGTGGGCATGTGTTGACTTGGTCTCTGTGCTGTGCTTGGAGGAGCAAGCTTCGGGTGCATCCTGGGCGGTGCTGGGGTGACGAATGAGCCTCCGTCCTCCTGGTATGAAGATGTGAGCGTGGGTGACTGAGGGTTGTACACTGAAAACGATGAGTCTCTCGCTGGCGTCTTCCTAGGACGCGGTAATGGGCTACCATCAATCATCATGGTCGCGTTTCTACCAAAGGATCGATCAGGAGTGGACTGGGGAATTAGCAGAGAGGAACCAGGTGGCTGTGGTGATGCCGGAGGGGATGCCTTTCGTCTGCGGGCAGAGGGAGGTTCTCTCGAGGCCATGTCTCTTGGGCCATGTGTGATGTAGGCAAGTTGGTTTGGGGATGAGGGGGCAGATGAACCACGATGACCACCTCGACCAACGCGATAGGCGTTTCTTATCATCTCCTCTCTTGCTTCTGGGACAATTTGCCACTTCATTCCCTTGCCAGGCTCGTCGGTTAATCTGGCAACCTTGTCAAATGATTTGTTCAAGGAAAGGTTATGACGAATTGAGTTCTGTCGAGTGTGAGTGAGTATACCGCCTAGCAAGGTATGGTGGCCGCCACGAGAACTTACCTGCCAGCCAGCAGCCTGTTGATGGCGATAGTAGGCGTATGTGTTCATGATGTAAGTGTAGATCCCGTTCAGATTCAGCTTCCCGTCAGGTGCGTTCAGGATCGCCTGTGTAATCATTTGAGCATAGCTATACTGAGGCTTGATATGCTGGTTCTCATCCTGGCTCAGATCTACACCATTGGCACCAACCATGACGGCTGGCGTGCTTGCAGCCGGTGATTTGGCAGTGCTCTGGGCCGAGGGCGGCGTGCCCGGGCGTTTGTATTCCGGAGGCGCCGGTGCAATGAGGGGTTGTCGGCGCGAAGTACGAGATTGTGGTGAATGAACACTGACTCCAGCACGTTGCAAATAGATGGGATGCACAGTCAGTGGAGTTATCTCGGACGGAAGCACGAACATCATCTCGACATTTCCAATCTCGATGACTTCGCCGCTTGTGAGAGGATGAGCCTGTCCAGCCTTAACGGGCTGGCTGTCCACCTTGGCACCGTTGCGGCCTTTGACATGCAGGAACCACTTCTCGTCCTTGGAATCGAATGATATGGTTGCATGCTCTCGCGATACCATCTTGCTAGGACCCAAGTCGATGTGGACGTAGGACTCATCTCCGTCGGAGCCCGCGGTCTGAGAGTTATGTGACGTCTCAGGAGCTCGACCTATGTTAACGTTGAGCTTGGTGATATAAAAGGTCCAGTCCTGGGCAGCCACTTTGGCATAGGCTTTCACACCGTCGCCCTTGGCCTCGTGTATGACATTTGCGTGATCCTTGCTGGCCTGGACTTCCTGACTTCTGAGATGCTGTGTGATTTGCGACACGAGTTGATCGTCGTTGGGCGCGGGGGGGTCTTCATCTTCCTGGACCTGCTCGGGAAGATCAATGTCAGCTGCCGCGGGCAATGGAACGAACGACAGACAAGATGACGGACCTTCTTACGACGCTTTGCAGGACGACTGGGGGAGGAATCTTCAACGTCGCCTGGTGATGTATCTGCGTTGGACGTCACGGCTTTACGCGGTTCGCGACGAGCCCTAGAGGCTCTCTTTGCCGACGGTGGCATGGCGGGCAAGCAGCTGTGCACTCCTACGCTGCAACGACGAAACGAAAGATGGCAAGGTCGAGGTTTTGTCGTGATCTTGAGATCGCAGGGCAGGGCGTGTTTTTGGTGCCCTCGAGGACTGACACGGGTATACGAAATAATGAGGTCAAGTAAAGTCGTGTCGTCAATCAATGAATGTATCGTCTACTAGTGCAGCAAATAAATGCCCTGCCCTTTAAAGTTGGTACCGCGTTCGCGTTAGGATTGACCTAGGTCTAGTAGTTAGTGTCATAAAGTGGCAGGGCCCATGACAGGGCTGCGATGCGCTGCGCTGTGGGCTGGGCTTGTGGGCTGGGCTGGCCTTGGCTGGGATGCGGGTGCTGGCTGGGTGTGGGTGTACCGATTCGTGCATATTCGAGCCCCGTTGAGTGAATCAGAGGCGCCAGAATCAGCAGACAAGGGGCTGACAGTGCTGTAAGGGGGCATCAGTGATCACTAGCGTGTGTGAGCGTCATTGGGAAACAAGGCGAATAGATGGATCCAATGGATTGGCATGATCTGTGGAAGAGGAAGAAAAGTGAAGATGATTTTTCTCTTCTTAATTCTTCATAATGGGACCGTAGTCTGAAAGAGAAACAGTATTATTAGTATACCTATCTATATCTATATCTTTCCCCCCCCCCCTTTTCCTTATAAGGAAGTAGAGTTTAGTGGCTTGACTTGCATCTTGCACAGAAAAGAATTCCGGTTACTTCCATTGCCGTACCCCTTGGTCTAGTAGTAGTACTAATCCAATGTCTTGCGTGCGTCTCAGGGGAAGGCAGCATTCTGATAAGTGAATATTGTGTGGTGTTTGTTCATGAAAATATGACCACCAAGCAAGCAATACGATAAATGCACATGCGTAACCTCAAGTAAGCCCAACACCGTCTCGCCCTTTACTAACTGACTGACTGTCTAAATGTCTGACTGTCTAAATGTCTGAATGTCTAAATGTCTGAATGTCTCTCATTTAGTGATTTATAAATGATTCAACTCTGGTTTTATTTAGCGCTAGGGTACGGATATTTTTGCCAACCATGAATCAATAACAGGTTTTCCTTGCAGCTGTCACTTTATCTGTGTCTAAGCGGGTATGGAACCTCAAGCACTGCAATGCGTGAACAACGTGATTCAATGCTTCAGTCTCAGTTAACAAATATCATATTGCCCGTTTAATTCAGCTCAAACCCACAGATAAAAAGCCAGTAATAAGAACTCAACCCCCCCAGGTTTAGGTACCTACCTAAGGGTGCCTCATTACTGAGCGTCTTAGCCAGGGTCCACTATTTCAACTACCTACACCCAATCCAGCTTCTGGGCCACCACCGCGTTTGTGCAGCCTCGCGGCGCCTCGTCGTAGTCAGCCAAAAGTTCTAACTCTCCTTCATTACCTACCTGACCTACCAAGTAGTAAGAAAAAAAACTTGGCCTCTTCATCACCCAGCGAATGCACTCGATATCCTTTACGATCCATCCCTTACCTCTCCGATCCAGCCATCCCCAATATTCGTCTCCATACCAGACGCAGAGCACCCTCTTGTCTTGTCCTGTGCCTGGCCTCTCCCTTGCGCTTCTCCCACTGCCCTTGGAGAGGCTTGAAAAACCAGTGCATTCTTTTAAACAAACAACCATTTGTTGATTCGGCTATCATCCTGTCGCATTAGGATTCGCGATCCTCCCCGGCCTCGGGTTGGTGGTTATCCAACCACTGTCGTTCAGCTGCCTCCCCCCTCCTCCTCCTCCTCCTCCTCCTCCTCTCCATCCACCCAATTGTCACCACTGTTCTCCAATTGAAATGACCGTAGACATTCAATGGCATGCTCTCGTCTGGCCTGACCTGGCCTGACCTTGATTTGACGCAATAACCTCCTCCTCCTCCTCCTCCTCCCCCCCATTCCGACGTTTGGATACATTGAAGCTATGGCATCTGAACAGGCTTACGGCGTGACGCCCCCCATTTCCGTTCAACTCCCAACGGAAGCCGAGTTGCGACAATCGGACGCTCTCCTGGAAGAATTGAAGCGTCAAAAGACCTTCGAGAGTCCCGCAGAGACTGCCAAGAGGTGAATGCCAATAAATTTGTCGCGTGAGCGTGTCAAGAACTAACAAACTTGTTCCAGAGAAGAAGTCCTGGCCTCGATCCAAACCATTTGCGATGCGTTCGTCCGTCGAGTCGCCCAGGAGAAAGAACCCAAGAACGAAATCCTCATACGAAATGCAAGGGGCAAAGTCTTCACTTATGGCAGTTATCGCCTCGGCGTCTATGGCCCCGGCTCTGATATCGACACTCTCATCGTCGCGCCGAAATACGTGACCCGCGAGGATTACTTCAAGTTCTTCCCAGATCTGCTTCTCTCGATGGCCCCCAAAGATGCCATCACTGATATGGCTGTCGTGACTGATGCTTTCGTACCCATCATCAAGTTTGAGTACTCTGGCATAAGCATTGATTTGATCTTTTCTAGGGTTATTCAGAAGCAGCTATCTCCCGATTTCAAAGACCTCAAGGACTCTGGCTTGCTGCGCGGCCTAGATGAGGCAGAGCTGCGGTCTCTCAACGGCACACGGGTAACGGACGAGATCCTCACGCTAGTCCCTGAACAGAGCACATTCAAGAATGCGTTGCGAGCCATCAAACTGTGGGCGCAACGGCGTGCTGTCTACGCCAACATCATGGGCTTCCCTGGTGGTGTTGCTTGGGCCATGCTCGTCGCACGCGTTTGCCAGCTCTACCCAAAGGCTACGTTCTCGGTGATTGTTAACAAGTTCTTTTTGGTTATTAGCCAATGGCGCTGGCCGCAACCCGTTCTCCTCAAGCCCATCGAGGGTGGACCTCTCCCTGTTCGAATCTGGAACCCCAAGGTACGTCTATGGGCATGCGATTTTAATGCGCAGAGTGCTAATCCTGTTTCTGCAGCTCTACAAGGGTGATACCTATCATCTAATGCCCGTCATTACTCCTGCGTATCCGTCCATGTGTGCCACTTTCAACATTACTCGTTCGTCGATGGCGATTATAAACCGAGAACTTAAGCGCGCTCTTCAGATATCTGAGAGCATCATGGTGGGCAAGCGCCCCTGGAGCGATCTTTTTGTCAAGCATACCTTCTTCACCGCAGGGTACAAATACTACATCTCTGTTACCTCAGCAGCGAAGACAAAGGAGGCCCACACGATCTGGTCTGGTTATGTTGAGTCCAAGGTTCGAATGCTAGTGCAGAAACTTGAGCAACACCAGTCCATCGCGCTAGCCCACGCCTTCAACAAGGGCTATGAACGACAACACCGATGTCACAATCAGGAAGAGATTGAGGCTGTGCAGGAAGGGAGCCTCGACTACCTATGTAAGGAAGGCATCGAGCACACTACTGCTGTCAAGATTGAGCCCGCAGTCGCAGAGCTACCAATCAAGGCTGAAAACGGAGAGAATGGCCAGTCTATCAAGCCTGAGAATGGTCAGGGCAACGAACAGGTCAAGACCGAGAACGGTGAGAATGATCACGTTGTTAAGCCTGAGCCTACAGAAGACACTGGTCCTATTACAGTCGTGCCTGTCAAACCTGAGACATCCAATGAGTCCAAACCAACAGACACTGCGACGGCAAGCGGCCCATCCGACATTTACACAACTACTCACTATATTGGCCTCGAGTTGGCTTCTGGTATGTATACCGCCTGACATGTTTCCGCGAATACTCGGTGTTTGAGATTTCCCAGTACTGACTCAATAGGCGCCAAATCACTTGATCTTTCTTACCAGGTTGATGAGTTCAAGGAACTTTGCACCTCGTGGCAAAAATACAAGGATGATCTGAAAGATGACGTCTCTATTGGCGTTCAACATGTCCGAAAGTGAGTTCAGCAGACGCTTCCGACATCAACGCACATTGGCCTGCTGACTTTGGCCCGCACAGCTTCAACTTACCAGACGATGTATTCGACGACGGCGAGAAGAAGCCCCAGAAGAAGGCTGCAGCTAAGGGCTCAGCAAACGGCAAGAAACGGGGCCCCCCAGAGGTATTTAAGCATCACCGGGCGAATTCCCATTGCCGGCCAAGATGCGCTGTTCCAGATGGCACATCCCTCCCAGCTAGGGTTTACTAATCCTTGTATAGGAGAATCCTCCCCCAGCAAAGAGACAACAAGCTTCGATTGCTGCCGCAGGCTGAACGTGATAGCATACTTCGCATTCCACACCAAAGCTGGCTCGGGCTCGACCACAACTCACTCAATTGTGCATCTTGCACTATATCTAAAACAAAAAAAATATCAAGAATATCGGCAAGTCCATAAGTAGTTGGACGATTGGCATGTGGCTGATCACGTAACTAACATAAGAGAAACAAAAAAGCTCGCTTTCAACCAGACTGAACTGCATCAACTACCATGGTAAGTTGGCAGTGCCAACCTGATGTGTTAATGCATTACTGGCGGCGTTATTTGCGATTGGAAGATTGAATAATCTACATTAATAACAGCAGAAAGAGAGAGAGAGAGGCACGTGCAGTGCAGGAAGGGCAGCTGGCTAAATCAACATGTTGTGCTTCGCAGCAACATATCTCCAAAATGGGAGCTGTCTAGTCGCCGGGTCGATAACGTTGAAGACCTCCAGCAACCTCATATTATATCTGTACCTAGGAAATGGCCATGCTAGATCAATACAAACTTTTTGAGGCTCGATGAACCTCAGGAGACTTGCTCCAAACCTCTTTTTGTTTTGGTCCCGCAAATTCCTGAGATGTGAATGGTGCCCGAGATTGCTCGACTTTACTGGGAATTGATGGCCAGCTCTATCAGATGCATCAGAGGTCGTCGTCGTCGTCATCACTGCCACTGAACCAGCCTTCTTGGTAGGCATCAGCCAGTTCTGCCAATCCATTACCAATATCCTCTCTTTCGTTCACTGATACAAGTCGAGCAGAGTCCGACCGCAAATTTCTGATCCGTTGCACTAACGAGCTGTTTGTGGAGAGTGTGGT